TTTTTTTTATACTCACACATCTATGTGATCAGTCTGAAAGGGTTCAGTTGGGCCGAAATCTGAGAACAATAATGGTGTGGGACCAGCTGTGATTTCCTTGAATGAGAACAAGTTTTTTTTTGTGTCCAAAAACGCAGCTGAACTGGAAACTTGATCAGATTGCTGCAACCTGTTTTTGACTGTATTGTGGGTCTGAACTGAATTAAGAAACTTGTTCTATAGCTGGTTTGTGACTGATCAGATTTAGCTTCTCTGTCTTCAGAAGATTCTGGTATGTCTGGTGTTACCTCTAGTCAAAGTGGGATGAGCGGAGGTTTTGGCATAAGTTTTCCCATGGCTGTGATTCCCTTTGATGGCCTTAATTACCTAGAATGGTCAAGGGGAATCAAACTTTACATAACTGCAAGGGGAAAAACAGGATATATCAATGGCAAAATTAGAGAACCCTAGTCTAGTGGTGTGGAACATGATAGGTGGGACCAGGAAAACAGCATGGTGATGTCATGGCTGTTATTGTCTATGCTGCCACAAGTGAGAAAGACCTTCATGTGGGCAAAAACAACTCATGAGATATGGGAGCAGGCACAGTCTACATACTCCGAACAACGGCATTATGCTAAAATATATCAGTTGCAGGCTGCCTCCTCAACTTGTAAACAGGGGAAGAGGAGTCTCTCCGCCTACTATTCAGACTTGACTTCTGTTTGGAAGGAACTCGATCACTATCAGAATATAAATTGGAAGTGTGATGCAGATGCCAAAGCATACAAGTCTCTGGTTTCACAGCAAAGAGTGTTTGCCTTTCTCCTAGGGCTGAATCCAATATATGAATCTATCAGGGTTTAGATATTGGAGGGTAAAGACCTCCCATCCGTACAAGAAGTATATGCTCTAGTGCAGTCAAAAGAGAGCAGACAGAATGTGATGAATAATCCTAAAGGAGAGCATATGGCTTTAGCAACTAAAGAGAGTGTTGCTACGGGTGGTGGAAATTCCTTCAAGAAGAGTGACTTCCAAAAGAAAGGTGATGAGAAAGATAAGTTATGGTGTACACACTATCAAAAGTCTAGGCATACTTGGGAGGCATGTTGGGAACTTCACGGGAAGCCAAAGTGGGCTCAGGAAATGAATAAAAAGCCGGATCAGAATAAGAAGTCAGGACAACAAGGTCAGAGAAAGTTTAATGTAGCAAATTTAGCTTTTCAAGAGCCTCAATCATCTACCACCACTATGAGTTCTTTCGGGACTGATCCGAGGGAAGATATCATTAATTCTTTCCATGACCATTTAGAGTTGTATGGGAGGGCAATCCGCCAGATGGATTCTGCTTCTCCACCCTCGACTTCCTTTGCATCTACATCAGGTAACGGTAATTCTGCCACAGCTTTCCATGTGTCCTCTCATCCCTCAAACTCCTCTTGGATAATAGACTCTGGAGCCTTGAACCATATGACGGGTAAGTCCAATTGTTTTCAATATTATCATCTATTATCTGGTGGGACAAGGTGAGACTTGCTTATGGTTCTTTCTCCACCATAGCTGGTCAAGGAACCATCTCCCTTCCACTTGGACTCACCCTCTCTAATGTTCTACATGTTCCTAAACTGCCCATAAATTTGTTCTCTATTAGTAGTATAACAAATTCGTTGAACTGCTCGGTAACCTTTTTTCCCTACTCTTGTATGATACAGGATTTGGTCTCGAGGAAGACGATTGGTAGAGGTCGTATGGTAGATGGTCTTTACATGCTGGAGAATAAAGCTTGTCTTGTGGCTATTGAGTCTAAGAGTCTGTCTAATAAGAGTCAAGTCCTTTTATGGCACAGTCGTTTGGGTCATTTATCTTTTGAGTCATTGAAAGTTTTGTTACCGTATTTATTTAAATCAGTATCAGTGTCGGATTTCACATGTCAAACTCGTCAGTTGAGCAAACATTGTAGAAATCATTTTACTTCAAGAAATAATAAATCTGATTTTCCTTTCCATATTGTGTATTCTAATGTCTGGGGCCCTGTTACTTTAGCAACCGAATCTGATTATAGATATTTCATTACACTTATTGATGATTACTCCCAATATACACGGGTGTACCCTATGCGGTCCAGAGATGAAGTACCAAAAATCATTAAAAATTTCTAACGCTTGATATTCACTCAGTTTCAAACGGAAATCCAAATTTTCCAATCAGACAATGCCAAAGAATATTTCTATAGTGATCTCACGGAGTTCTTTGCCTCGTGCGGATCCATACATCGTAGCTCTTGCACTAAAACCCCCCAACAAAATGGTGTTGTTGAAAGAAAGAATTGTCATCTCCTTAAAATTGCTTGTGGGTTACTTATACACATGAATGTTCCTAAACATTTCTGGTTGGATGTTGTGTTGTGTGTTGCCTATCTCATCAACCGTATGCCATCCCGTTTGTTAGGGTACAAGGCCCCCCATCAGCTTCTTTTTCCCAAGGTTCCACTCTTCTTTATTCCTATTCGTGTGTTTGGTTGTCATTGTTTCGTCCAGAACCTTTCTCCTACTCATGGAAAACTTGATCCTCGTACCATTCCTTATGTCTTCTTGGATTATCCTTCTTCCCAAAAGGGCTATCGATGCTTTGACCCCATTTCCAAGAAAGACTATGTCTCTATGGATGTGTCTTTTTTTGAAAGTGATCCTTTTTTCCCGGTTTCTCCTTAGGGGGAGAGTAAGGTGGAGGAGAAATCAGTTCATGTTCAGGTTCTTCCTCCTTTGCCTGACCCTCTTCCATTCCGTGTTTTTTGTCGTCGCAAGAACCAGCTAAATTCGAGAGTTGTGAAGCAACTTGAAACCGTACCACCAACATCATCAGATTCACCAAGGACAAATCATATCCAACCAGATACTATCATCCCTATTGATGTTCCTGATCCTCTTGCCATAGAAATTCCATCCGGTGATGACCTTGACATTCCTATTGCAAAAAGGAAGGGAGTTAGGTCTTATACCACCAAGTATCCTATTACCCATTTTGTTACCTACGAGAACATCTCACCCTCCTTTCATGCTTTTATTTCTTCCATTGATAGTGTCCCTATCCCAAAAAATGTGGCAGAAGCTCTCTTAATACCAGAATGGACAGATGCAATTTAAGAAGAGATAAATGCCCTACATAAAAATGGTATGTGGGAATTAGTGGATCTTCCTAAGGGTAAGTAACTGATAGGGTGCAAGTGGGTGTTCACAGTGAAACACAAAGCTGATAGCACGATAGAAAGGTGCAAGGCTAGGTTGGTGGCAAAAGGGTTTACCTAGGTATATGGTGTAGATTATGCAGAGACCTTTGCCCCAGTAGCCAAAATGAACTCCATTAGAGTTCTTTTCTCCCTTGTGCAAATCTTGATTGGGATCTTCATCAACTAGACATTAAAAACGCCTTTCTGAATGGAGACCTTGAGGAAGAGGTATACATGGTTCAACCTCCTGGCTTTAGTGCCCTAGGCAAAGAACAGAAAGTGTGCAGACTAAAGAAGTCTTTGTATGGTTTGAAGCAATCACCGAGAGCCTAGTTCAGCAAGTTTCATTTGGCTATATAGCAGATTGGCTACAAACAATGTCAAACTGACCATACTCTATTTGTGAAAAGAGGGGAAGGAAAGATTGCAGCCTTGATAGTGTATGTTGACGACATAGTGATCACAGGTAACTGGAAGGCTGAAATTCAGAGACTAAAAGATTTCTTAGCCACTAAATTTGAGGTGAAGGATCTAGGTCTCCTTCGATCTCAAAAGGGGATCTTCATTTCTAAGAGGAAATACATCCTAGATCTGTTACAGGATACAGGAAAACTATGGGTTAAGCCAGCTGACTCTCCCATTGATCCTAATCACAGACTAGGTGACTGTTGTGGTGAAGTTGTCAAAGATGTAAAATAATTCCAAAGACTTGTGGGAAGGCTCCTGTATTTATCCATGACCATGCCAAACATTGCTCATGCAGTAGGTGTTCTTAGTCAGTTCATGCATGCTCCTAAGACCACACACTTAGAGATAGCAGAAAGAATACTCAGATACCTAAAGAGGTTTCATGGAGCCGGTTTGTTATACCAAAAGAATGGTCATTTGAAGATTGAAGTATATACAAATGTTGATTGGCCTGGATCAATTAATGACAGAAAGTCTACCAGTGGGTATTATTCCTTTGTGAGAGGAAACCTAGTCACATGGAAAAGCAAGAAACAAAATGTGGTGGATAGGTGTAGTGCTAAAGCTGAATATAGAGGAGCAATGTTCCATGGGGTGGCTGAAGGCATGTGGATAAAGAATCTGTTGAGCGAACTGGGCTTTCCTATTGATGGTCCTATGTCCTTGTATTGTGGTAACAAGGCTGCCATCAATATTGCAGCCAACCCAGTTCTTCATGATAGAACTAAGCATATAGAGGTTGACAAACACTTAATTAGAGAGAAAATTGTTAATGGGGAAGTGTGCACCCCATATGTGAGTTCCAAAGAGCAACTGACAGACATATTTACAAAAGGCTTACATCACTTACGGCACAATGATTTATGTGACAAGTTGTGCATGATTGATATCTACGTCCCAACTTGAGGGGGAGTGTTGAAATAACTTAGTTTATTTTAAGTTTAGTGCCGCAAGGGCACCTTTATAATTTTCTCCTTTATTTTTTATGTATAGTCGCCTAGTACATATAGCAAAATAAACTAGCGCCGCCAGTTGACTTTTGCCTCTTTCAATTTTGCCTCTCTTCTCCCTTCTCCTTCTCTTCTCTCTGTTCTGGAATCACACCATCTCAACACCAAGAAAACAAAATACTTTGGGTAATCGAACAAGTATGTTATGACCTTGCTAAGGAAGAATATAACTTAAGCAGATCAAAATAACCATTTAAATAGCAGAGGTCTTCCTTCTATTCCCCCCCCCCCTTCAAATCAATAACTGATGCATACACACACACACACACACAAAAGCACCATCAGGACATCAATAAAATCTGAGTACAATTACTTACCGATTTTTATTGACAAGGCACCAGCTGCCTGCACATGTAACAAAGTGCAAGATCAATTAAGCTACAATATTAAAAACAGATATTGAATATCATACACATAAAATTCATATAAATACTTAAACTTTGAAGAGACAAAACACAAATGCTGTAAAACATATCAGTTATGGTTCAGGCCTTAGCACGGTGACAGAAGTCTTCTCCAAAGTCCTCAGCCAGTGGTAATAGTTTTGTGGCCTGAAAAGGCATTGTTGTCATTTTTATTCATAATGTTATTATGAAATTCTGTGTCCTTTAGTCATATATTTAGTCGATGTGCTTGTTCATTCCACCATGCATGTAGCTAGTAATGGGATGATGCAAGGAACATGGTTGTGTACCATAGGAATTGTCTGAAAGTCAAGCCCAATGCAATACCTTGGGCACCAAGGATACCACAATTAGAGCTACACATGGTTTACCTTTTCATTAGACGTATGTTCCATTTGGACATGTCTTGTACATTGACAAAGGGAACATGGGTGAACCTCTCACCTTGAGTCAAGTTGATTCATTCATGCGACATGTTTTCTCATTCACATGAATGGGTCATAGTTGCCAAGGTGACACCTAGGCGACTAGGCGATTTTTAGAGGTTGCCTCGCGGCTCGCCCAACGCCAACACCAATATGGTTTCCATATTAGGTGCTCACCCTTACATATCATATCATTTTTTAATGCCCATATATATTATACATACACCCTGTTGTATCTTACAATTTTTTATTAAGATGATTCTTTTTTACATTAAAACTACGAAAGTTTCTTTGGGTTTGAGTTCTGAACCGAGACTGAGAAGAGAAGACCAAGGACTGTGCTCCTGTATTTTTTCTTACTTTTTTTAAGAAATATTTTTGGAAACAAAACAGGGACTCTGCCTCCTCCTCCTTCAAATCGTCCTGTTACTCTTGTATTTTATTTTCTTTCTTTTTTAAATACTTTTGGGACTTAAACAGGGGATGCGCCCCAACTTTCTAAATTTTTTCTTGTACTTTTTGCACTATTTTTTTAATAATGTTTTTTTGGAACGAAACAGAGGCTCCATCTCCTTATTTTTCTATCTCTTTTTTCGCTGCATTCTCACTTTTTATTGGCCTGAAACAGGGTGTCCACCGCCTTAAACACAGTCCTCGTACTCCTGTATTTTTATTTTTTACTTTTTTAAGGAATATTTTTTGGGAACAAAACAGGGTCTCCATCCCCTTATTTTTCTCTCTTTTATTCGCTGCATTCCCCCATTTTGTTGGCCTGAAACAGGTTATTGAACATTGAAATTAATATATTTAAATCATGTATAGGCGCCCTGTGCTCTAGGCGCCTTGACAACTATGGAATGGCTTAATGACTAGCATATGCTTGACGTTAACAGCTTCAACACGTGTATTTGGGATGCACTAGGCCACAAGCATGAAGCATCAGTGTATGAAACTTTTTTTTCAACCTTGTACTCTGAATCCAGGTCTACTTCAATAAGGGTTGGTTATTACTTTAATTTAATTTGCTAAATGCAATGGTTCCATACTGTACCTGTGTACCAATCAGTTGTTTTGGGTAAATGACCAATCTGGATGGGCTGTACAGTCTGTACTTACTAGATTGTGATAAGAGTCACAATGCAACCTGCCTAATTTATACTTTTTTTTGAGAAAAAGGGGACAACTTTAATAAAATAACAAACAGGTTAACACTATTGTGTTTGATTTCTTTTAAGCCCATTAATTGTTTTGAACTAATACTTCAATATTTATTAGGTCCTTTGTATTCAGAAGTAATATTGTAGGGTTTACTATTTATTTATTTTATCTTTTAAAGAACTGTAAGTGTTTAAAATAGTTTTTATTTCTTTGGGGTGCTACAGTAACTTTATGGCATAATGGCCCCAATTTTCCTTTTGTTTTGAAAACAATAAGAAGGCTTTTATTTGAATGTTTATGATCAATAATTTATGAGATTTTTGGTCCTACAAAATTATTGAGACATTTAGTTTTATGCATGATGTCTCCAGAGTGTTTTGGCCTCTGGGAGGGTGGTAGACACAATGTACTATAGTGGGTCCTGCCATGATAAGTTGTTGGGGGCTTGGGGCATCCTATATAGGTTGGTTATCTCCAAGGATGATAGCTAGTTAATGATTAACCAACCAGATATTAAGAGCAGTAAGTTGTATGTTTCCAGTGTATGACCACTCAAAGCACTGGTAAGGACATATCTGTCCTTTTATTATTTTAACCTTGGTCAAAAACCCTATCTAGCCCCAGTAAGATGGAGCTATTGAGCAAACAACAGGAGAGGAGATGAACTAGATTCTCTTCAACTGTCATCTTGGTGCAAAGTGTCTCATTGTATAAACTCAAAAATCTCCTTTCTGTGGTTGACAAGGAAAAGACGAGATATATGTCATCCTTTTATAGTACTGAAAATTTTAAAACATGTTTACTCTTGCTTAATTTCAAGCCTCTAGATCTTCTTGAACATATTTAGTTTATGATGGGTGTTCATAGATTTAATCCGGAGATTTTTTTAAGTTTCCTTTTTTTTATAAGCAACTGTAAATAAGTTTTATTAATGACTTTGAAAAATTGTACAGAAGGTTTTACATCCCACATGGTGGTTAGCCTAGGCTAACACTAGCCCAGATTTATATTTTATATTTATTACTATATTGATATGACAATATACATATAATGATAGAAATTTAACACAAAAATATTGGCCTATCCTCTTGAGTAGTCTTGAAAAGCATTTCAGTAGCCAATATGGTTGCAGTAGTCCTTTTCCACATTCACTTAAAATTTCTGATACAATACTACAAATTCGTCTCTTTTCACTCCTGGTCAACATCTTTTTTTTTGGTATAACTAACATGGTCAACATCGTATTCCCACAATCCCACCCCTACTCCAAGTAAACAATGTCTAAATTTAGAAGGCCGAGAGAAAACTAATTAAAAAATAATAATAAGATCCTTGCAAGATCTTTATATATCTAGCATAGTTGCTAAGGCACCTAGGTGATTCTAGGTAAGGGTGAGGTGGCTAGTTGCCTAGGCAATAAGAAGTCCATAAAATAAAAAACAAGTTTTTCCTAGTTCTCTAGTTTTATATGCCATTTAGCATGCATATTAATTGGAAAAATTAGCAATTTTCTTTATTAATAACACTAAATTGCCTCTCAAAACATGGAAGATCAACGTATCTAGGACAATTGTATTTCAATTATATTAATTTCAGTACTTTCAAAAATGATACTAAAATAATATTTAATGAAGCGATTTCATATCAAATTAGCAACTAAAGAAAGTTATAATTTCATATGATAAAATATAAGACGGAGAGTAAGTAGAGGAGAAAAGGAATAAGGGTGGAGCTGCTGTTTTATTTAATGTAAGAGATGGAGAAAGGGGGGGGGAACTTTATATTTCTATCCTTGTTTTTCTGTTTTTTCTTATCTCAAAAACCTTTGGATCTTTTAATTACAATGGTAAGACTTTACAACAAAGTATAAATGATACATATAGCATATAATATAGTGTAGTAAAATACATATTACTAAGATGTAGAAATATGACTGATATTGTAATAAGTCACCCACCTTGTCATTTTAGCTGCCTATGTAAGCGTCTTATTGCCTAGGGAGGCACCTAGTTGCTATACAAGATATTTAGATTAGGCACCCAGCCAAGAGCGCCTAGGGGACACCTTGACAACTATGAATGTCTAGTAACATATAATATACACCTTCAGTTTTCACTATACACCCCTTCTTTGTCCATATGTCAATATAAATCCTCCTTATAAGGAGGGAGAAAAAGTAACCATTCCGTATAGATCGACAAACTATGTTTGGAAGAAATGAAAGTTGAAATGATAAAGTATATATAGTACATCACTGAGTGAGCTCGAGCAATCATCTAATGGAGTCTCGGTGGAAGCAATAGAATGAATTCAGAAAAAGGTTCTATTGACAGCATATTCAACTTTGATCAATGAAGAATAATTTAGTATGTATTTTAGCCATATGAACTTCCAAAAGCAGCAGCCACCCAGATAACAAGGAGAGAAAAAAAAAAGAAAAAAGAAAAAACTGGCATAACTACAAGAACCGCAAATACTAGAATTCATACAAAAATTAAAAAAAAAAAAAAGGAAAGAAGCTCTGTTCTAATCAAAACCTAATCTTCATATATTTTTTCGTGAAAACTCTACACCAGCCTCGCATATTTCTTTCGTGAAATCAAAAAAAAAAAAGAGTAATGACTCTACTCCACAAGAATGGGGGAACGCATGCTAACCGTAGTTTTGAGAATGCCAACAAAAACCCTAAACGAAAGGGGGTGAAGCGTACCATTTCTTGAGAGAGAGGATTTACGCCCGTGAGTTTGCATTGTGTGACCACAATCTTCTGAAGCTGATCAATTTGCTCATGAAAAAGCTCCTTCTGGGAATCTAAAAACCTCTGAAAAGACTCTTCGGTATTCCCAACATCCAATTCGGCGAAAGTGCTCGCCGAATCCTCCTCTGGAACCTCCATCTTGGTCAGAAATATGAAATTTCGACGATACGATATCACAGATCGAGCGGTAAGATTCTGCGCATTAGGGCACCATCTTTAGAATGTTACGTAATGTTCTTCGAACACTGCTTAGAGAGAGAAATTCCCATGGGTTCTATTTAAGTATTTATTGACGTCGTACTAGCGAAACAGCTTTTCTTTTTCCGTGTAAAATGTACCAAGCAAACACTCGCTACAATGGGATAATTCCATTTCCGCCATGCGTGACTGAAATTGGTATGGGATTAATTCAATTTCCACGTGTAGATGGGCCGGACTCGGGTTTAACTTTTTAATGGGCCCGGTCCGAAGCCCGAGCCTGAGACAGTATAAAATTGGGCCTAAAACCCGACCCGTGAATAGGTCTGATAACGTGGAATGCATATTATACAAATATGCATTAACCACATACATAATGTATAATATAATATGTGGTATTTTGGAATTTAAAGGTGTATATAATATCCGGTTGGAGATGGAGATTGTTTTGATGGGTGAGTATGGAGATGAAAATGAGGTTTTTGCACCGGTTCCGTTTTAATTTTATATATATAATATTATTTTTATTAGGGAATTTGTCTAAAATCCATCGTCACTTTTTATAAATTCACCATAACGGTAATTTCACTAACGAACAGCGTTAATTTACTATTTTACCCTTCTTCCACCGCTAAAATCTTTCTTTTCTATCTTCGTTATTTCCCTTTCTTTCTCATTCTGACTCTACCCTCTCTCTCTCTCTCTCACTCTCTCTCTCCATCTACAGGTAAGCCCCGAAGATATAACGACCAACGCAGAGGATGCCGATCTGTTCTACTTGCCTTTCCCCCACGATTCCTCCCATAACTACAGAGGAATCGTCCGGTTGATCAGGAATCTTCGGACGGACTTCCCCTTTTGGAACCGTACACTCGGGGCTGAACACTTCTGCGTCTCTTGTAGCGGGATTGGCATGAACTCCGACAGGAACATCATCGAGTTGAAGAAGAACTCCGTTCAAATCCCGTGTTTTCCGACAGCCGAAGGTAGGTTCATCCCTCCCAAAGATGTCAGCTTTCCCCACCTCAACGACCAACATCTTCACGCGCCACCCGGAAAGAACTGCCAAGTACCTGGGCTACTTAAACCTAAACGACAGCGGGGATCAAAATGGGAAGCCCGAATCGACGTTCTCGAACGAATTGTGTGGTGATCCCCAGTTCCTGGTCGAATCCAAGTCGTCTGATCCCGCGTTGTGTGTGGGGAGGCTGTCGAGCAATAAGTTCTGCTTGTTTTTCTACGGAGGAGATGTTTCAGGAATCGGAGACGCGTTGCAGTTTAGTTGCGTGCCGGTGGTGATTACGGAGCGTCCGATTCTGGATCTTCCATTCATGGACGTGTTGAGATGGTCGGAGATCGCGATGTTTGTGGGGGCAGGATCCTATGCCTCCTTAATCCGATTCCAGGAAATGGCCAAGAACAGGGATTTGGGTGCACCTTCAACCCGCTGATCATGGTCCTCCCGTTTAAGCCATTCTCTTTCAACAAAGTCCCTAAGCCTGCGGTCTGGTAGTTTGAGGAACTTGAGCTATCAGTACAGTAGTGGAGCAGATGGTCGAATTGAGATGATATCGAATGAAGACATTGATAGGAAGAATCCTACTCCAGATGGAAACTTCTTCCGGCTCCTCAAATTGAATGCACTCGAGTGACCATTTTCAATCATGGGGGCAGTTGGTGAAGGGATGGGGCAAATATCAAAATTGTCAAAATTCATCAAATATCAATGATTAAAGTTGAGTTCATCAAATCAAAACACATTAAATCATCAAATATCAAATTTTCAAATTAACTAAATCAAATTTATCAAGTCAAAATAAATTAGCTCGTCATCAAAGATCAAAATTAAGTTTATCAAATCAAATCAAATCATCAAATATTAAGATGGTCCAAAATTTGTTAAATCAATTTTAGCAAATCAAATAAAGTCAATTCATCTATCAAAAATCAAAATTAAGTTTATCAAATCAAAACAATAAGTCATCACATGCCAAAGTTGTCCAAAATTCATTAAATCAAGTTTACCTAATCAAATCAAGTCAATTCATCAAAGTTTATCAAATCAAATCAAAGCCTCCATCATATGGATAGTCAAACTTACAGGAATGTTGGGCGAAATTTCAAATCTGAAAATTACATTTTTAAGGATCGTTCTTGTAACCAAACCGGACCAAATCTGAAACCAAAAATAGGAATGGATATACCTGATACGGAATTCACGCAAAAAGCTCCTCCCAACGCAGGTGTTCACGCCCAAAGAATGTATCAAATCCTCCCTCCTCCCAACAGGTATTTCTTCACCAAGAACCTTTGATTCTTCAACAAGAATCGAATGGGGTAGTGAGCACAGCTTTAGAATTGTTTCTTCTAACAAGAAATAATATCAATATCTAATGTTGATCAGTTCAAATAAAATGGAAATCGAACAGGATAGGGCGGCAAGAGCATGGAGAAAAAGAACTGGAGGCAGAAACAGTCAAACTGAATTGTCTTTTATGTTGTGTGTGTTTTCAGATCCGCCCTGCTCTTTATTTATAGCCTTAAATAGATGATCTACTAATCTGATTAGGAGTCTCTTGATCAAAATCTTTATTTGGATCTAAACTCTTTAAGTGATAAGGATAATCCCTTATCTTATATGCAGATCAAGATCAACTTTTTCTAATCAAATTAGGAGTTCCCTTATCCAAATCTCTATTTGGATCTGGACTCTTTAAATGGATTGGAGTTATCCTCTTATCCCTATTTGCTTATCCATACCCAGATTCGCCCCTATTTAATTAATCCAGTTTGAAATGGGCTTTAGGCCCGTTAAGCTTTCAGGCTCACTTCCTTTTAATGTTAGCTAGCTTTGCTCTCTTTGTATGGTGTGGGACCCTATCATTGATCTACACATCAGCCACATGGGTTCAGCCTAGCCTCTGTTACAAGGCCTGGCTGAATTCACTACTAAACATAGTGAACTTCTAAGTCCATCGCCATAACATTTACACTACATGGTCCTTGGGTCCAACCATCTTATGAAGGCCCAAGGGTTGTGGGCAGATGCAAGATTAGCCCATCAGGTATAACTTTCAATGGTCTTACACTTAACCTTTTCAACCCTTAATGATCAAACACTGCCCGACAAAAGATGACCTCTCCCTCGGCTGCAAGGTACAGTGTTGCACTCTCTACTCACATGGATCCTGTGAATTAAAACATTTTGCAAACAATTTGTAAAACCATAATATATAAGTATATCTCTATATAAATATATTTTGCAAAGCCAAATTTCAAACATATTTGAAATCCACTGCTAGCAATTTAGGTTTCCATTAAAGAGAGTGTATTTCCCCAATCATTCACTTTGTCCGACAAAGGGGCTGATCCTGTCACTATGATCACCTACTCAGATGAATTCTCGGATTGTCCCAACATACCCAAGTTTTGACCCCCTCTAAGGATTTCACTGATTGGCACATCAAAGACAGCTCAATCCAACACCTAGTTGCAGTATCATAATCGAGTCTAGGGGTCAGGTGTAACATTCCAGTTTTGTCCATCTGTCTCCAAGGTCCAGGGTGATACTGGAATTTGGTCTGGTTCAAGATTTCAAGAAAACCCACATTGTATGTACCTCAGGTCTCACCCTGGTAGTTGAGACAAGCCACCCCAACCAACTTGGTGGCACATTAGTGTCAGCCTTGGCGGGATAGATCTCCCCGGATCTATCCAACGGTTGTGAAGATTCTAAACTAACATGAGTCTCATATGTGTCCAGTTTAAGGGTATTAAACAGAAACACACCACAATAACATGAATCAAATATGTACTTTATTCATTTACAATAAATGTCATAATGTACATCATGCTAATTGGAGCTAAGGGCATACACTGTCTAACAGTTGGTTCAGTTTTATCAATCTTTATTGGTCCAATAACATTTGCAATCATAACGAGCAACATGATCGAGGTGTTTTACTATAGGGATTACATGGCAGTGGAGAGGAAAATAGAGGAGTTTGTGTTCATATACATCGGAACAGGGCTTTACGTTGTGGTGGCATATCTAACGCAACATTATTTCTTCAGCATCATGGGGGAGAACTTAACAACTAGAGTTAGGAGGAGGATACTTGCAGGTACACAAGTCCTTGGACAGTTTTTTGCCCCCTTCGCATCTTCTGTTTCTTGTTTTTATCGCCATCCCCTGTATGTTGAAGGAGAAGGGCTCATTGGCTCATCAGGATATGGACCGTTTTAACAAGTTGGCTTACCATTCAAGGGCAATTTATTATGAATCATGCATTTAGGTTGATGTGGACAACTTGACTCATGTCATTGAACTTTAATGGTGTTCTAATGGATAGTGAGTTTTAGAAAAATAAAATCTCACTGACATGGTGAGTTTTGGATGTTTTGAAAAGTTATGGTGAGTTTAAGAGAATTCATATAAAGTGATGGCGGGTTTTGGACAATTTTCCTTTTTATTATTTATATATCAAAATATATTTAAAATAATTTTTATATTGTAAATTTTTGTTTATTTTAAGTATATTTATTTTTTAGAAAATACTATTAACTAACAAAATTTTAGGAATTCGGGTCCCCATGGGCAATCCGTTCATGTCAAGGATTAGGGATGGAGGACAACTTTTATCACTGACAGGGATTGGGGTTGGGGATAGAGAATATGAACGAACAACCTCGTTGTTATTCCTAATCTGGATGTTTGGTAATACCAGGGGTGTAAATCGGGTTGGGTCGGGTGTATGGTCAACCCTAGCCCAACCCTAGGATTTAGGCTCAAGGCCCAAGTCTGGATCAAGCTCGAGGTTAAGTCTAATCGTTCCATTCGAGTTTAGTCTGCATTGTAATTTGATACAATTCGATCAGGTTCGAGTTTAGGCCGGTCAAGCTTAGGTTTGTCAATGAATCTATTTTAAAAATTACATATGTATGATTGTATGAATATATATATATGTATGTATGTATGTATGTATATATGTGTGTTATTGTGTGTGTATGTTTATGTGTTAGGTATGTATGTATGGATGTGTATAGTTAGGTTAGACTTGGGTTGGGTTCTAGC